GTTCCTTGTTGTTGCTATGGGGCTTATGTTACTACTAAACTTGATGTAATGCTTGTACTCTAACCACACGCAACATTAACATAACACTCTCTAACCACACCCAACATTATCACAACACTCTCTAACCACACGCAACATTAACACAACACTCTCTAACCACACGCAACATTAACATAACACTCTCTAACCACACCCAACATTATCACAACACTCTCTAACCACACGCAACATTAACACAACACTCTCTAACCACACGCAACATTAACACAACACTCTCTAACCACACCCAACATTAACACAACACTCTCTAACCACACGCAACATTAATCCATCGTTTTTTCTCTGCTCCTGACGCATAATTAATCCATCGTTTTTTCTCCGCTCCTGACGCATAATTAATCGCTCGTTCTCTCTCGTTCTTTCTCGCGCAGTACGCGGGACTGATAGCGTTCACGGATGCGAACATGACGGTCACGTGGGAGCAGTGTAACGTGAGCGCCGGCTGGCTGCGCTGCGCGGACTCGCGATGCTACGCCGCGTGGACGCGCTGCGACGGCGTCAACAACTGCGAGGACGGCACCGACGAGTCATTCTGTACGTATCCGCACCAGGTGGCAGCACTGCGACGGCATTCCGTGTCGGCGTTCCGTGTCGGCGTTCCGTGTCGGCGTTCAGTTCTTATGTTTCATTGAGTGTTTAGGACTGGCCATGGTGTTCTGTGTGCTAGTCTTTCATGCCATTTTTCAGTGGCAGTGTTCCGTGATGGCATTACATGCCGTCTATTTGTACCATGCAAGATGTTATGTTTTATGTTTTGGACTTGGTTGTCATGTCGTACGAGCCATATCTTAGACGCCGATTGCGTTCCATGTTCCTGGCACATCGGTTGTGTTTCATTCTATGAATGCATGTTCCATGTCATGCTCAATTGCTGCACACATTGTTTGCCGTCCACGCTTCATGTCCTGCGTGTTCTGCGCTTCTTGCCTTGTATCGTCACTGTGCATCATTGTACGTCACCCCGCACCGTTGCTGCGTTCCATGCCCCTCACATCATGGCACGTCAACCCGCACCATTGCTGCGTTCCATGCTCCTCACATCGTGTCACGTCAACCCGCACCGTTGCTGCGTTCCATGCTCCTCACATCGTGTCACGTCAACCCGCACCGTTGCTGCGTTCCATGCCCCTCACATCGTGTCACATCAACCCGCACCGTTGCTGCGTTCCATGCTCCTCACATCGTGGCACGTCAACCCGCACCGTTGCTGCGTTCCATGCCCCTCACATCGTGGCACGTCAACCCGCACCGTTGCTGCGTTCCATGCTCTTCACATCGTGTCACGTCAACCCGCATCATCCCCGCGTTCCGTGCTCCCCGCGCCGCA